TTCGTTGGTGAAGGTGCCTTGGAGGAACCACGCTGTTGAGGAAGCGATGTGGGAAATGGAGGATTTGATGAAGAGTCAGTATCCGTTTTTATTTGCTTAAGGTTGTAAATTTCTGGGACAAAATTTATATAAGGGGGTGGATTGTTACACCCACCCCCACTTATAAAAGTAATTATCCCCAAAAAGTTATAGAATTATAAATTTGGACCCTATTCCTTTACCCAATCAGGATCTGAAAATGGGATTCTTTCCATCCCTAAGCTGCCACGTGGCAACACCCCAGTACCCTTCACGTTTCTCTCTCTCCCTCACCCTATGACCCCCTTTCCTTTCTCTCTTTGTCTCTGCACTTACTATCCTTTCCCTCTCTTGAAACCCTCTCATCCCTCTCCATTCCCTTTACCTGTGAACACCCAAGTGCATCCACACCCTCATCATCGTCATTAGCATTTTGTTGTCTCTCTCTCTCTCCCGTCGCTGCAAGGACTGGCAACATCCAACTTTCCGGCCGACCTTCATCTCGGTTATATCGGATCTTTCCTTCCTTTCTCGTCATTAGACAATTTGTTGAGTTAGCTCGTCCTCTCTCTGTTGCTCGCTAAGGGGACTCAAACTTCGGAGCCGTGGTTGGAGGGATTCTTTCGCCACTCCACTCTGAACTCGGCAAACCAGGTCACCTAAACCATATCTCATCTGGTCTCTTCATTCCTTGATACCAGATCAGGGTCTAGGGTGTGCGTTTGCATTGGCCAGGAGCTGTAGAATTTGGTGTTCTTTTCGATTCCCACAAGGCCTTTCAGGTTCCTAAAACCCACCGGCCTTCGGGCCATTGTAACCCCCCTACAGCCCAAAACCCTTCCCTTTTAGTTTTTAATTTTTGTTTTAATTCCTTAAGACCCAATGGCCTTCGGGCCGGCTTCCTTAGGGCCTTTGGCCCGTTGACCCAACCAAAATCCTCTCTTTTTTATTTGTTTTTTTTAAAATAATGCCTTTTAGGCGGTTTCATTTAGGGCCTTTCCGCCAGTTGACTAAAACCCTAAACCCTTTTAATTAGGCCTGCGCGCGCTCCAGTAGGTTCTCGCCCCTGGTTGCCCGAGCCCACCCCTTTTCCATCCCTTCCCCCTAAGATTACCAGCCCCTACCTATTATCTAAAATAACCCTAACCTAAAGTCCAACCAACCCCCCCCCCCAGAGTTGACCAAAATCCCTAAGGCCCTAACCCGGACCACCACCCTACAACCCGGGCCTTGACTCCCCTGACCTCCTGACTTCTGACTTGACTTTTCAAATTTCTTTTAAGAACTTTCCTAAGCCCTAATTCCTGACATTGACCCGTTGACCCGTTTGATGTCTGTTTTCCAAATTCAATTGTTAATTTCGACTTGACCTTATGCTGAATAGGTACCCGATTATTTAGCCGTGATTCCGTCTATTCCTTTTGTACAGCTTTCCCACCATCAGTGACGGTGATGGACCCTTCTAAAAATGTGTTTGATAATAGAAATGCATACATGAAAAGCATGATTTAACACCCCAATTATGTTCTATGAAACGTTTTGATAACATGCCCTTACCAAGGCATAGTTGATTCCTTACTATTTTTTCTTATACACCCCGTATTCTTATAGCACCCTATCTTATGGATGAACGATATGATATTTTAGAACATGTTTAGAAACATCTTTATAGTGATACGACTGAATGGACTACATGAATTCTATTTCACTATGAAGTTGCTTAGTTTACCTATCATGTATGACCTTCACTATGATTCTTCATGGATCACTTACACTATGTGCGTCTTTTTAGTACCCTGGGCTTACCCGGCGTAAGATTTCCGCTAGCATTCCGTGGCCCGGTGCACGGTTCTCCGGTGTTGGCATAGGGCCGGCAGTGACCTGTGTTCCTTCCCTTGGCTATTTAGCATAGGGAAAGGGAGCCGGCATGGGGCATAGGGGTAATTTTCCTCTGACTGTCTGCTTAGAGATGGGGAGCCGGCATGGGGCCTGGGGGTTATCGGACAATTCACTAGTGATTATTGTATATACAAGTTGCACGACATGCTACGTTTCGGAAAACCTATGTTTATCATTATATATGTGTTTTCATAAAACCTGGGGCTTAGTACGTTAATAACTGTTTTACTATATATATATATCAACTTGGTCCACTCACGTTTGTTTTGCGCCCCCTTCAGGACTTCACAACAAGGAATACGATCTGAGCTACGAGGAATTTCTCTACCAATGATTCAGTGCTATACCTTCTCTGCTTCGACACCTATTGTAATAGCATTTCTCTATCTTAAATTCCGCTCGTACTCTGTATTAGATGTATGCTCTGAACATTATGTGTGTTATCATAATTTTATTAATTAGTAGTTGAACTTTAGTATTGTGTTATTAGTTCCTATTACATGTTTTAGCATATTTTCCAGCATTTGCTTAAATTAAATGGCTTTCGTCACCCTTCGGGTGTCGGCCAGCACGTGACCATCCCGATGTCTCGAGGACATCGGAATCGGGGCGTGTCATGACAACTGACGACATCTTCAATTTGGACTAACAACATTGGAGCTGTAAAATCAAGTGATTGAAGGAGCATCTTCAATTTAGACAAATTGAATTGCTTCTAGTTGGTTGGTTATCTATCCAAGTCTCGGTCGGTGAAGAAGTTTTTAGCTTATTCATCGAAAGAAGTCATTTCATTAGCATACCAGTGAAGTGGAGTGTTATATAATTGGTTACTCTTAAGTGCATTTTTCATTTTGACGTTCAAATGGTCGAACCTTGTTCACAGTCAAAATGCTTATCTCCTTTGAATACAAGTGTCCTTCCAGCTTAATATCGATTCGGCACACCTGTATTCTAACGAATATAGTTGAGGCAACTGAACCACGTGTTCCTTCCTTGGCCATAATCCCTCGAGTAGGGAAGTCAGCAGTGCATTCAACACAACCACCACTACCACATCTATTTTACTCGTCTGGCTGAGCTCGGTTGCAAGTTGGCATGTCCTCATTCATAAAAATGACATAATTAGGTCATAGTTACTTGGTCTGCGCGCCATGTAGGTTTTGTGATTTTTAGGTTCAACACATATTACTATTGGGTTTGTCAAACCCTACATTTGTGCCACATTAGTATAATAAACGGAAGTGTAACAGGATGACCAAATTGATTTGTGACAACAAATTTCTCGGACAAAATTAATTGATTTTGAAATTAACAAACTAAAATGAAAAGTTAGCTCAATGTTATAGATCATTTGCCATAAAAACCTAAAATAAATGATAAAATAAAATTTGCACCTTTAAATTATCACCTATTCAAACACAAACTTTCTTGCTTGCGTCACAAATGGCGTTCATTAATTACATTGGTTCTCATCGACCACCCTAGCCAACATGAGCGGCAAAAATATTGGGGCTAGTACACATTTGATTATACATTTTTTTTAACAAAAATAATTATTATGATTAAAGAGTATGAGAGAGTTCGAAATTATTATAATAATTTAAGAGAGGGGGAGATTTAAACTTGGGATGCGTGAGTACAGAGACCTAACATTCTATCGCTAAGTTGGGGCTAGCATGTGAAGCTTTTTCTGAGTACCTTTACCTTATATTCTTTGTACGATAGCTATGCTGACTTATTACTTTTATTGCTAAGTTAGGGAATTTTTATGAAAAAGGGTTGGACTAAGTTTATTTTAATAAAAAATCATGCTATAACTTTATTTAATAAAAAAAGACTTAAATTTTAATCAAAAACTTTTAAATTTTAATAAAAATGACAAAAGAACTTAAATTTTAATGAAAAAGACATAATTTTAATATTAAAAACATTATAAGAAAAAATGACGCACGGACCCCGCATCCCTACACACTGTTTATGAAACTTAACAGTAGATGAAGATTTTATATATATATATGTATATCTGTATGTATGTATGTATATCTCTGTGTGTGTGTGTAAAAACAATAGAAAATTCCTAATCCTACTTCTGTGGATATAATCTACAAGGGACGAATTTGACTAAATTCGTGCACAAGCACTAGTCTAATACAAATGCGAAGAAAATATTGGAAAATATAAAATTGCTAGAGAGAAAGAGGAGAGGCGTTGTTGTCAGGGAGAGTAGTTGATGGAGGAGAAGGAGATGAAGAATAATGAGGTGATGATGTAGTATTGCTAGCGCTTTACCTAGGTTTTGTTTTGTTTTTTCATTATCTTGTCCTTATCATTAAATAAAGTTATAGGATGACTTTTGGTTAAAATTCAAAGTTTTGAAACCCTTCTCATTAGTTTGAAATTATTATAAAATTTAAGAGAAGGGAGAGATTTAAACTCGAGACGCACGAGTAGAAACCTAACATTCTATGGCTAAGTTGGGGCTGTGATGCCTTTTCTAAGTATTTACCTTATATTCTTGGCATATTTGTCGATTTAACCCCTGAACTTTTATTTTAGTCAATTACTTCCTTGAACTTTTATAATTAGACAATTTCCCCCTTGAACTATAATTTTAGCCGATTACCCACTTGAATTTTTATAAATAGCCAATTTCCCCCTGGTGTTAGATTTTAAAAATTTTCATCCAATTTTCCATCCATCTTGATCACGGAAACAACACATGACAACTGTATGAGGGCAAAAAGGATGAAAAATTGGATGGATGAAAAACTGAATGAAAGTTTTTTAAAATCTAACGTCAGGGGGGAGTTGGCTATTTATAAAAGTTCAAGGGGGTAATCGGCTAAAATTCAAGTTCAAGGGGGAAATTGGCTAATTAAAAAAGTTCGAGGGGGAAATTGGCAGCTGCATACAAGATCAGGGGGCAAATCAACAAATACCTCTATATTCTTTGTATGATAGCTGCTGACTTATTACTTATATGCTAAGTTACTAATTGACTTGTTTAAATTGACTTTCGAAGTCGTCTTCTCTTTATTGGTCGAAGTCGTCTTCTTAAATTACAGAAAATGGGTAAGCAAAAACGGGTGGCATAGTCTGGAAGGTCACCAGTGTACGTTCAAACCGCAAAACGTGGATCGCAATTTGTTCGTCAAGGTGCGTTCACACCATCAGACGAAATCACATGAAGCTGTACTAGAATGGTGGACCCTATAAAAAAACCTACACTGATCAGTTTTCTCTTCACTCGCATTCTTACAGAATAAGAACATCCATCCATACGACATACGACTAGATCTTCGTGGAAAACCCAAAATCTTGGTTTTGTTCACTAATACTAGTGGAGAATATGAAGGTATGTATATACACTAATCCCGAAAAATGTATGTTTTGTTTTTACTTCATAGCTAATATGATTTTCTCGGAAAAAATTAACCCTTTCTTCATTTTCGTTTGGAAGGGTTTAATGGTCTAAATCCCTTGAAAGTTTACATCTTTAGTTCACATGGTTGATATTCATAACTTGATTTTGACATGTTTGTCCGGCTGGTTGCATGATCTGCTACAGCAAACCATAACCATTGAGGCGCAGTTTAGATGTGCAAAATGTCGGTCCAAGGCCATGGAAATAGCTGTTGCAGAAGACGGTGTGTTTTGTACCCTTTAGAGTATATGTGTTCATGTTAATTTGATCAACAAAGTGCAAAACGAAAGAAAACTACTGTAGGCTAATTAATCAAATTTGTTAAATTTTTGTATGATATAATGTTTTTCAATTGTATATAATGTTGCAGGTGTAACATCAGTGGCCTTTAAGGGGGCCAATAGAGATCAACTGGTGATTACCGGAGATGGAGTTGATGCAGCGGGGTTGGCCAAGTCATTGAGGAAGAAGCTTGGCCATGCAGACTTGCTGAGTGTAGAAGAAAAGTGAATCTTAAAAAGAAAACAAAATCGTGCATCATATGATGCTACTCCACTTACAAGAGAAAAACTTTCTTTCACCACCCTCACCAGTTGGAATTCTACATCAATGAGCCACCACGAATGAGTGCTTGCACCATTTTGTAGGTGAACTTGCATCATTTTCAGGGAAAGGACTGTTGGTTTGGAAGTCATAATCATTTTGTCAAAAAAAAAAAAAAATCCTAGCCTACTACCTCGACTGATTTTGTGGCAATAGAATTTTACGGGGTAATTTCATTGTATTCCTTCTTTGAAATATATATACATACAATTCGTGTTCCATAAGGAAACAAATAATAAACGACAATCCTTCCTAATAAAGGACTCTTAGTATTTACAATATTTACATTCCTTTTTTCCCTCACATTGACTTATGATTTACACTCCCCCTCAAGTTGGTGCATAGATATCACACATGCCCAACTTGACAAGTGAGTCAGCAAACTTTCGACTACACACAGCATGAGTAGGAATATTTGCAAGTTGCTCATCCGAATTCACAAACGGTATGGACACAATCTTCTTCTTAAGCTTTTCCTTAATAAAATGTCGATCAACCTCCACATGTTTTGTCCTATCATTTTGCACTGAATTATTAGCTATATCTCTTGCTGACTTATTATCACAATATAGTCTCATGGTCTCCTTTGGTTTGAACCCAAGACCCCAAAGAAGTTTTCGAACCCAATGAACCTCACAAATGCCATGGGCCATGCCTCTATACTCGGCCTCAGCTGAGGATCTCGATACAACCTTCTGTTTCTTACTTCGCCATGTAACCAAATTTCCTCCCACAAAAGTAAAATATCCAAAAGTAGATCGTCTATCACTTACATTTCCTGCCCAGTTAGCATTATGATCTACATTCGGTGAGTGCATAAACTGACTCACTACACTCACAGTATAGGCGATGTTCGAACGTGTATGAGCCAAATAAATTAGTCTTCCTACAAGTCTCTGATATCTCCCTTTATCAACTGATTTCTGATTCATATACAAACATACATGATGTTTTTCAACAATAGGAGTATCTACCGGCTTACACCCCAACATACCGGTTTCTTTTAACAAATCTAGAACATACTTATGTTGGGACAAGAAGATACCTTTTGGAGAACGAGCAACTTCAACCCCAAGAAAATACTTCAAATCCCCTAGGTTCTTCATTTCAAACTCGGACGCAAGATTACCCTGCAACTTCGAAATTTCATCCAAATCATCTCCAATGATAATCATGTCATCTACATAGATGATTAATGCTGTCACTTTTCTCTGTCTTCGTTTAACAAATAACGTGTGATCAGAATGACTCTGATGATACCCAATCTTTTTCATAACTTGAGTAAACCTATCAAACCATGGACGAGGCGATTGTTTAAGTCCATAGAGAGACTTACGCAATCGACACGCTCCGGTATTTCCACCAGCATTATACCCAGGAGGAAAATCCATATATACTTCTTCCTCCAAGTTCCCATAGAGAAAAGCATTTTTCACATCAAACTGTTTAATGGCCAGTCCATATTTGCAGCTAAAGAAATCAGAACACGTAACGTATTCATCTTGGCAACCGGAGAGAAAGTTTCCTGGTAATCTACACCATATGTTTGGGTGTATCCTTTAGCTACCAACCTTGCTTTGTACTTGTCTATTGATCCATCGGTCTTGTATTTGATCGTAAATATCCATCGACATCCAATTGTTCTCTTCCCTTTTGGCAACGGCATCACCTCCGAGGTATTATTCTTCTGTAACGCCAACATTTCCTCATCCATTGCCTTTGCCCACCTTGGATCCTTTAAAGCTTCCTCCACACGGGTTGGTACTTGAACAGACTCCATATTGTCCACCAAAGTTTGGCGCTCTGGTGTAAGACCATTACATGAGACACAGGGCTGGTTTGGTATTGCTGTGCTTTGAAAAAAATTGCTGTGAGAATAAGCGGCTGTGAAATAAATCAGCAGAGTGTTTGGTAAACTTTTTTGTAAAAGTGCTTTTGGAAAAAAAAGCAGTCTGATAGTGGTCTTTTCATTAAAGGAGCACTGTAGCTTCGTGTGCTTTGAAAAAAAGCCAGTTTTCCAAAGCTACAAATAGCAACTTCAGCTTTTTCCTTTGATTTCAGCTTATTCTCACAACAGCTTCCAAAATAAGCCATTTTTTTTTTCAGTTTACCAAACACCTAAAATTCTCACAGCTTTTTTCATGGGTGTTTTTTTTTTAAGCACCTCACTACCAAACCACCCCATAGTTGGCTATTGGATACTTCACTTTCCCTTCCGAAGAGAACCTGACAGGTGGCACACCTCGATTTTGTCTCGGTGGCAACTTATATGTACTTACATCATTACTTGTATTAGTTACATAATCATCCAAAATACTTACCTCAGGTATATCCAAAGAAGACGTATTGGGCATCACAGTGGAGCTAGAGAGAAAGGGGAGCACATTAGCAGATTCGGCAGGTGGCTGCTGTGACTGCATACTACTTTCGGTAAAAATCTGCCGTGGCTACTCTGACAATACTTCAGTAGACTCAAGCTCCCTAGCCCTATTATGTATTGCAGAAACCGACTAAACCACCTCAGGTGGCTCGGTAAAAGCCACATGTAACTCTAAGTCCTTCTCAACACATGCTTCTCCACTAGCAGGTGCGGTCTCTGCAATAGTATCTCCCCCTAGGTCTAACCATTCCAGATCACCACTAGAGCTCTCTCCCTGGTGATCTGAAGATGAAGACACGGAAGCATAAAAATACTCCGATTTCGAAAAAGTCACATCCATGGTAACATACATATGCCGAGTCTCAGGGTGATAACATTTATATCATTTTTGGTGAGATGAGAAACTGAAAAACACACATTTTAAGGCACACGGATCCAACTTAGTACAATAGATTTTCTGAATATGCACATAAGCCACATAACTAAATACCCGAGGTGTGAGAGTATAAGTAAACACCACTTGAGCATATTGAGTGAGGACTTGGAGAGGTGTTCAAAAGCCAACAACCCGTGATGGCATACGGTTAATCACATAGACTGCATAAGTGACAGCTTCAGGCCAAAACACCTTAGGAATAGATGCCCCAAGAAAAAGAGCACATGCCGTTTCTAAGATATGGCGATTTTTCCTCTCAACAACCCCATTTTGTTGCGGGGTATGAGGACATGTCGTTTCATGGAGAATGCTGTTGGAAATATGCCCTGAAAGTCAATCTTTGGAAGAAATCTTTCAGGACAAATGAATCGATGTATGGATGATTCTTATACATCAAATGGCAAAGACACGAATTAGGACTATCTCAATTAACGATATATGTCCTAAATAGTGTATCCATGGACAATGGATCGATTGAAGAAGTAATCTAATGATGTTAGACTACAGAGACCTTCTTCACATAACCATTGTGTCCAAAAGGTTCCTGGTCGTTGGATTGTCGGAGGGATACTGACAATGCGTAGACCGGTACATACTATGTCTGCTTCAATTGGAAGGATGGAAAGTCTCATCCCATTCGTGTTGTGACACTAAGACAAGTATGTAGGTGCTCATTAGGGGAATGAGTTCACTGAACACAATCGAACGAGAGTACTTGCATGGAGGTCTACTCACATGTCAAGCAAGTAACTCTAATGGTTAGAAAGATGTAAGTAATCCTTAGACCTGAGGCATCGTTGTTGTCTTGTGGTTAAGTACTTAATCTTTGATTATGTCAAAGTCTCCCCATTCGAGGGTGTCCACGGCATAATTGGGGTTAAGCCACTTAGTCATGAAGGCAAGTGTATGCGCAACAAGGAATCTCTAATCCTCGATAAGAGAGGAAGAATACTCTAAGATATGATTCGGGAATCTTCGGCCGAAGTATCGAGCGTATTGAATGGAAAGCGTTCCTATACGACTCAAATGAATCATATATGAAGGAATAATCACATTAGGGGTTTGACATGATATATCCATACCCTAATGATGTGATTGAGAGTATTGTATTAGAGAAGGATTGAATTACATTGTAATTCCAACTGACTAGGTTCTTCGAATAAACTTCTACATTAGCTTGGGTAGCTATGACATATGGTTAGATGTCACTCATAGCTTGTGAGTTCTTCTAGATGATTAAATGTAGTCGTCAAAGAAGAAAGGTGAATTAAAATGAAGTTTTAATTCACTAAGTGATTGAATTAAATATAAGCAATTGGATTGATGCCAATCACCTCACTGCCTTGCTAATTAGAACCTAAAAGATTGTTCACCAAAACACTATTGTGGTGAGTAACTAATGGATGATGGAAACAATTAATTGGATTAATTATGTGTTGTGATTAATTTAGAAAAGTCTAAAGAAATCATAAAAGCGATAAAGATCGTTTTGGGCTTAAAGAAACGTTCGGGTTTAATTGGGCCCATTGGGCCTAAACCCATTGGGCTTTTATTCAAGCATTGGATGACTTGAAATAAATGAAAGCCCAAAGCCCAAACAACACAAAGAGGACCGGCCATATTATGTGGGGAAGGAGATATTTAGTCAAGTGTTGACTAGGTTTTCTTTTGTCTATATAAGGAACTTTATAGTGATAAAGTTCATAAGGGTTTTTGAAGTGTTTAAACAACAAAGAGGCAAAAGAAAAAAAGCTCTCTAACACATCAAAGGGCCGGCCACCATTGGGGTGTTTTAGCTAACAATCTTTCACCATTTTGGTTATTCCTTCATCCTTCTCACTATACTAGTGGGTGAGGATCTTTAGAGGTTTCCTACTTTGGAAACTTGAAGAGAACCTAGGAGCACTCATTCTTTCAAAGTGGAGGAGGCAAGGAGGGAAGCTAGGCTCAAGGATTTCAAGGAGCAAAGGGCTTGGAGGTGGTCCATCCTTGGTCTCAAGTCTAGATCAAGAGGTATAAGACTAACCTTCACTTTGTTCTTGATTCCATAATTTGTTTTGATGCATTATATATAAACCTATGAACCTTGAAGGGGATTTGCATGACTATAGCTTTGATAATATGTTATAAATGCTTCCGCTGCTTTCGTATATCATAATTGTTTTGGATATGCATGATAGTCATTTAGAAATCCCATACATGAATCTCATAGATTTCCCTTCAAGTGGTATCAGAGCCAAAGGTTTATGTATAATGTGTCCTTTTGGATTTTATGCATATGGGTATTAATGTTATGTATGACATATTGTTGTTTCATTCAAGGTATGTTTATCTTTTGTTTTTCAATAGTTGAAAAATGTTAGTCAATAGTTGAGAAAGGTATGGATGCAAAAGATGTTTTGTATGCATGAATGAAAAATGAGTTTAGAACTAGTTTG